GCCTCTTTCAAATTGGACAAGGTTCAAGATTCTTTTGAAGGTACATGGCTCATTATTTAAAAGTTAGAGTTATATTTATACAATACTATTAAAATCACTAAGTTTCACATTTTCTGCAATGCTTCGGGCAAACTGGAATAATCTGACCAAGTTCTGCTTAACTAGTCCAGATTTTAGATGTTTGTGCTGTCCTTGGAACAAAATCTGAGACAGATCTGTATGCCTCATATTTCGCTTCTGAATTTGCTGGTTTCATATTTAAAATGAAAATACCAAGTGTGGGTAGCTTGAATAAACCTACGTATTTCAACCGCTTACCTCTCACTTATCGATACAATGCTATACTAAGCGGGTTGCTAGTGATGTCTGGATACCATCAAGCTTGTTAACTTATTAACTTGGATTTCGCGCATCTAATGAGCGCCAATAGTGACCCCCTTGTGTGACATAAAAGTTGTCAGGGTTGAATTTGATGCAACTGATATTCAGCTCGTATATTTTCTCGGATTTGCCTGTCACATCCAAATGAGCAGATGATCTGGGGCTTACGACAGTCAAAGCAACGCGCTTTTCTTTGAGCCGCATACGTAACGGGTTGAAGTTGCTGTATTCAGGTGTAGAGACCGGAGGAGTACAACCGGACGGTGAGCAAAAGGAAGAAATACTAGAAGTCCCATCCATAACTGTCAAATCATATGGGGATAACTAATTAGTTAACAAGGGTGCTGCTCAACTACCTATAAGAGTCAAATACGACACAGATGCGTGCCTAGAAATGACACGAACAACGCTGATTACTTGAGTATGCGCAAGATGGCCAGGCTTTGATAACTGTACGTAGTTGGCTGTGGCAATAATGATCAAAGTGACAAGAAGAAGTTGGGAAGAAGAATTCCAGTAGCCAATAACCTATAATAAAGACGAGTACATTATTATGAAATGCTTTCCAAAGTCGGTCCACCCGTTCATCAGGTGAATAATTTTTCCTTCATGGAAAATTGCGTGTTTGATATTCTTTTACCAAATTCCACTTGGTGAACGCCAAAGGAGCAAAGCACATTCAGATAGCGTGCAAAATTTCAGGGCAAAGTGGGCTAATTTCAAGTGCACTTCACTTCAAAGTAAAGCACTCCTTCAGCCAAATGTTTAGTTGTTATTGTCGGTACACTTCCGGTGGCCCTTTGGTCCCCCAGATTAGAACAGGCAACACGCGCGTAAAATTCATAGACGTCATATCCTGAATGCACTTGAAGATTTTGTTATTTCATCGGAATTTTCAAAAGTGTGGTTCATTCTCAAGAACTCAAAAGGTCTGGCCATTTTTGGTTAATTATAATGAAAATACAGTGATTTAATAAAAAAGGAGAAATCGTAGATCAACAAGACACTACTTTTCTGACTGTGGCCATACACAATGCAGTCGCGACATAAACAAAATCAATGTGCTGATAGGGTTTGAGGTACACACATACTGTAATGTGAGTGACAATGGCTGTATGTTTTCTTAGATCAGCTTTCCGGGTCAGCTCAATTCATGTAGTGTAGTAACGGATTTTCCTCAGCTTAGTTCTCGGTCTGAGCTTCCCAAGCTAGCGTTCACGTCAAAACAACCACCAAAGGTGCACAAGGTCTATTAACGCCCAAAACGAAATCAGGAACAGTTGTACCAGCGCTTTTATATATGGCGTAAGCGGCTATAACTTTCTGGAATTTCTGACGCGTTCTGGGGCACCATTGGCAACCGGCAGTTAGCCAACACTGGGTCATGATTGGCTGTTGGGTCCATATTGTTGACCAATCAGATCTCGTCTTGATGCCAGACCGGCAAGCGTCCCGAATTTTGGGCCAACCTCGAGCGGGCCAGGCTTCTCAACCGTAGCAGCGCCTAAAGACCTGCGGTATGGTGGGATCCGCGTGGATTCCTGCCTAACATGTAGTAATCAATCACCTGGGTTTTTTGGTTTGATGCATCTTCCCTGAGGTCGATATAACTAAAAACTTCCAAGTTTCAGCCCATATTATAATCCATCGTACCAAGTGATCATGTATAACCTCATAATAAACGGTTTAAGCGTTTCCATTCCGCAGTACGTCTGGCTACACGCCAAATTCCTAACCCTGACTTATCCAATACTCCTCAAAATGAAAAACGATACAAAAATGAATATTTCTGTCGGTAATCTTGAGTAAAATGAACGTGTTGCACTGTTTCCCGTGTATCCTTCTAACAGCTTTTCTCAAAGTGTACTCCTGGGTTACTAATTACAGTGAATCAAAAGCATACTGTCATGTGGAGACTGGTCTGCTCTAAGCGCATTGAGCTACTATTAAAGGTGCACACGTAACAGAACCGTTCGTACCAGGTTGATTAATCTTCCATGTTTGGAGTCGGAATGTATATGGTGACTTGATACCAGAAAAATGCGAAACTTTGACACGTTAATATCAACTCTGTTTGTCACGTAGTCCCAACTTAGACCGAAAGATTTGTTTGTTGTCCTGACAGTGATGCATTGAGCACTTCGCATTCACGACCTGCAAAAGTAAAACCAATGCTGTGTAAGTGTCATTGTCAAATTTCACCATATGTCATTTCACCATATGGTTAACATTCCTCGAAAAAAACATTCCCTAATATCAGAAACCTGATAAAAGGTAACTCACCGTCTTGGTTTCACTCCATTTTTTTTGCTTGAGTAGATTCACCTGATATTGCGTCTGTGCGACATGTTCGAATCCACTACATTGCTCATCAATTCAAATCAGATCATATCCAGCAAAGTTTGCGGCGGGGCTGAGTGGTGATATGGCACTTGACCTGTCCACAGCTATCAGCCTTCCATAAAACACAACCCTAAGCTAACATTGAAGGGTAATGGCTATTCCATTGAGATGGGAACTAATCACCCGTTTAAGGAAACTGAAAACTCCATCCTAATTATCCTCACGACTTCGTTAGAAAATTACTACCGTGGTCGGACGTCAACTTTCTCAAATGACTTGAAGGGAAACACCATAAATGAGAAATCCAGCTGGGATTCAGGTGAGTCTTCCGTGAAAATCAAATTGGCATGCAAATGAGAGTGCCTGCCGAATTTACTGCAAGTTGGGTTCAGGTAGAACTAGGGTGACGGAATCCGGGTACTTTGCCTATCTGATCAGTCTCAGGAATGGCAAAACTGGCCGTAGGCTACCGAAGAGTTTTCAGCAACCTTATGAGTAGTGTGACATGACCTCTTTTGAGGTTATCCTAATTGTGCACTGCAACCGATACTTTTAAGTGCCTATTTGGGGTCCGGACTGGATGTAGTCAACAGCTCTTCTGTGCAGAGAAATACGAGTCAGGATGAGGTGAAAGATTTCCCATCAATGATGTGACGCATTGCCGACTCTGCATAGGATCAGTCCCGCAGCCATTGAAAAAACGTAGTATCATTCCTAAGCAGTTGCAACAGATATAGGAAAGGACACGAACAGGTTTATCATTCAGATATTAGAACATCTTAAACTGAAGCGCTTGCCTGATGTATTTTAAAACTGGTTACCTCGCCTGCCTCGCAGCACTGCTAAGCGTAGGCCTAGTCAGGCAGTCATGGAATGTCATGACCTTGTTTGTCCTACCATTACCCAACTGTTGGAAAGAAACGAAAAACCGCATGAAAGTTATGCTTCAGTGAATTAGTTGAAAGCACATCTAGAAAAAAGTAAGGATCAGCGACTCGAAACTCTACTTGATAGGCAGTCATATTTTGACCTATTTTGCTTTGCAACGTGCTTCATATCAGACCAAGTAGTAAATAACTGCATGGTTTGGATTTACCGTTACACCAATCTAAGTAGTGTAACATTAATGATGGCGCACGACACTTAATTTGATATGGAAGAACGTCTGAACATTTGGAAAACATGGATATGGTCCATTTCAGTAGGTATTCTACTGCATAGAACTATCCCCGTCCAATTTGAAAACCAACTTTTCGAATATTTGTTTGTTGTCGTTTGCCATCAATTCGGAATCCGCCTGTGCGTTACCCCCGGGTACTTCTGTTAATTGAAACAAATCTCGCTTGAGTTTCCCCGTGGGTGGATCCGATTGCCAAGCTCAGTTTTTTATATTAAAGTTTTAAAGTTTTTATGTTAAAGTCAATAAAGTGGCGGACTAAAGTTTCCTCCAAATGTTCAACAAATAAATGCAAAAATGCGGGCGCCGTTATCAACAAAACAGATGCAACTTTTTCGGCCGAACATTTCGTGAACACTTATCGTCCAGATAACTTACCCATTGGAACCGTAAATGTAGTTCCATTTATCCGAGTCAGTCATAAACCCAAAGTTTTTCTTCAAAACAGGCTCCTGAAACTGGTCTCGTGTGTTGGATGATCTGATAAGCAAAGTTTACGGCAGATTCTTGCGGCGCCTAGCCTAATGACTGCAGATGTTTGGCGGCAGCAGTGAGGCAATCACAGAAGTGGATCTGCAGTCCGCAACGTAATTTACCACTGTCTCACGCATTCGTCCAGTTTGTTTTCTTCCACACAGACTGTTTTTGAACTTCACACCATTGTCAGTTTATTTTTTTCTCCTGGTTCGTCCATGATGCAGCAGCCTACGTGTCGTTGCAAGCTTTGCTTTCGTTTAAGCGAAACGACGTCTACAGGTGTTCTGATGTCGCCGCACACCTTGGCAGAACCTTATTTACTCAATGCAAACATAAAGCTAAAAGTAAACAAACGGCCAAATCCAACCCTGGGTGTGTGTACATTTTGCTGCAGAAGCAGGCTGGTCCTAGGCGGTATGATCATGTTTCAGTCAGTAGAAACTTGCAGTTCGATGGTACAATTCAACTGATTTTTTACTCAGTACTACTTGAGTATCCAACCCACCTTTTGAAGAGCAATTTAATTGGTAAAGGAAAAAAATTTACCGCATGCAAGGAGTTTGTGTGATGTGTGGGGGCGGGATGGCTCAAGTTGTTGGGGCGCGAATTTACTGACCGGAAGGTCCGTGGATCGAACCCGACCTCTGCTTCTCGACTTCACCTGTCTAGACCTGGGCAACCTGGCAGTATCTCAGCACTCGTGCTTCCCCCGGGTGGTATGGCAGCTAGGCACCGGAAGGGTGTTACAGCTGAACGACTGTGTGATGTGAATCAGTTTGACCTCTGCCTGGTTAATGGCTGAATGCAGTGCTTTTTGTGAGAACTGAGAAGTGTTTATCCTAGTGAGCTGAAAGAACGAAGTATGAACCAACTGGTTCACCAGTTGATTTATACTGCAAACTAATGAGCAGTAAATATCGAGCCATCCCACCGCAGCATCCAAACGTCAAATTAGACCAACCAGCGAACTAGTGCAATCAAACGCTCATTCTACTATGGCGCTCAGTATCCGCGAAATTGAATTGAAATTTCGAAAGCTGTGACGTGCCCCTGGTGGATTTAAGCAATCAGGTAATTCAGCTAAAGCACCAGCCTGAAATGTTGAGCCCCGCCTAGGCATCCCGGGGACTCAACGATGCTGGGAAAGTATCCCATCAGACTTTTTCCGCTTTTTTTTGCTTGAGTGGACAATTAAATTCGGTAAGCAGCAAAAATATGGAAGTGGATTAAGATGATTAGTGGTGTACGCACATACGTAACAAAATGCAACATTCTGGCACAAAAAGTTTTATTTTACTCGCAAAGGTTTTGCAACAAAGAGGATTGTGCGGCCAATAGACCCCTTCTACTAGTGGTTTATATTTTTTAACAGTTCAAACGCTGATTTTATTCACTTACCCATGTATCTCAAAGTCGCACTTATTTGAAATACCTCAGTTCTTCCACGTTGGAAGCAAGTTTGGGAACTTTTTCTGTGAACAAGATGCACTTTCAGATGGCTCGCAAATTGGAGTTGCAGATTTGCAAAGAAACTTTGTAAAGATTGATGTCTCGTGTGGAGACACATCGAGGGCTACCCTTTAATGCATTTGAGCGATTGCTGGTTATGAACCTATGTTACTCAAAAGGGATACGAGCGCTTTGACTTTGCCATGTTTTGGTGGATGTGAATATGTTTGAACAGGGGAAAGTTCCGGAAAGATATGATATATTTGAAAGAAATCACTCACACGGAAAACACACATGGATCAATGGGACTCATGCACCAGCTAAGCATTACGCTTGCTAGTGAATTATTTCATCACATTTGTCGGATTGTGCTCGACCTGATTGGTTTGCCTGTAATGACACATTGTCCATTTTTAAGCGAGTCATACATTTTCATCCAAGCATGGCCCTTTGATTACGTCAGATAATTTACGCATAATTCCACAACACGAGTGGCACATTGCTATATCTGGAAGGCTACTTTTGCTTTCTCCCCCCTAATTGCCCAGCGAACTCATTCTGTTGTGAACATATAACAGTCTGTATAAAATTTTGATCCGAGGTGTGCTGCGCAATCATCCTATTTCAATTGGAACCGAACGATGATATTAGCTCTGCCTAAAGCAACATCTTCACATAAAAGTACGAGTTTCCAAGGATTGATATTAAGTCAGTTTTGAACACCCTTGAGTGTTTGTTTGTAATGCACTACTTATAAGGTTGCTCATAATGTTGTTCACTATTCTTAAGGTTAAACGCTTAATTTGCCTCTTCATAGTTATCACCTTGGAAGGCAACATTAGACATAAAATTATAGGTATGATGGGACAGGCTTGTGGTGTCTAGTTCAGGGCAGGTTTTGGTACTAAAGCCCAAGTTGAAGTTGTCCGGCACACTAAGTCCTTCCAGGATTTTTTCATTTGTCGATGTGGTCGGCGTTTATCCTGCCTGATGACATTCTCCTAAGGCTAGTTAAGCTTAGCCCTGTAATGCTTGCGGCCTCCAAATATTATCCCATGCCGTTTTCGTGAAATATGTCTCTCCCTACTCTCTTTGCATACTGATTTGTTTAGCCCGCGCATCTCGTCGACCAGATATTTGAGCGCTGGAAATTAGCTTGCACAATTCCTCTTGTTTTTAATAAGAACTGCTTCAAATTCCGTCTTTGTATTTCGTATACTTGTAACTAAGTTCTCTCAAGAAGAACCGCTGAAAATATTAGACATAAAGTGGTATTTGAGCAGTGACTATAAAGCCGGCTTTCAACACTTGATACTCTTACATTTGTCGTTCTTACGACCGTTTCAGACTTGAAGATAAACACTAGAGGGGTCACTACTTATAGGTTGCTCATAATGTTGTTCACTATTCTTAAGGTTAAACGCTTAATTTGCCTCTTCATAGTTATCACCTTGGAAGGCAACATTAGACATAAAATTATAGGTATGATGGGACAGGCTTGTGGTGTCTAGTTCAGGGCAGGTTTTGGTACTAAAGCCCAAGTTGAAGTTGTCCGGCACACTAAGTCCTTCCAGGATTTTTTCATTTGTCGATGTGGTCGGCGTTTATCCTGCCTGATGACATTCTCCTAAGGCTAGTTAAGCTTAGCCCTGTAATGCTTGCGGCCTCCAAATATTATCCCATGCCGTTTTCGTGAAATATGTCTCTCCCTACTCTCTTTGCATACTGATTTGTTTAGCCCGCGCATCTCGTCGACCAGATATTTGAGCGCTGGAAATTAGCTTGCACAATTCCTCTTGTTTTTAATAAGAACTGCTTCAAATTCCGTCTTTGTATTTCGTATACTTGTAACTAAGTTCTCTCAAGAAGAACCGCTGAAAATATTAGACATAAAGTGGTATTTGAGCAGTGACTATAAAGCCGGCTTTCAACACTTGATACTCTTACATTTGTCGTTCTTACGACCGTTTCAGACTTGAAGATAAACACTAGAGGGGTACAAATCATGTACCTTAAACAAGTTGACAACATTTTCATCCTCTACCCATATCCTAGTTTACAGGCCTTTTCTGAGCTCTAGAAAGTCTCCAAAACCCTCAGAAACTTATCTACCTGTCAACTTCATAATGAAAACACATCCAGATTTTATTTTAGTCTTTATTAAGCCTTAATTTACCAGTCTACGAAATAGTGAGACAGCAAACGGGGTTCGTTGTCCCCAATTTCCATGTGAGAGAATCCAACAGGGCAAAAATTTAGTCTGAAAAATGTAGAACTTGGCATTTGGAAAAAGAGCAAAAACTCAACAAAGCTATAAATACAATCTATGCACCCTCATGGGCAAACGATCTGCAGCCTAATCGGGTAACTGAAATGGAACCAAAGATCAGAGCGGTAAATTTACTGGCAAATATGGCAACCCGGGGACCGACAGGATAAAGGTCATCGAGTGAGCCGCAGGAGTCAGGGTCAACATGTGTCTTAATATCAGCCAACCAGACAACTGATGGAGAGCCAATCAGCATGCGGAATTATCCGAGAAAATCAGAGGTCGCTCTACTATAACGAGACGCATATAAAAATGAACATGGCATTGCTCAATGCTTTCTTAACGATGCACCACTAAACACTAACACAAAGCTAGTGCAGCACGCACTGCCGACTAGCCTCGAGCTTTAGCGATATGTTTGAAACCGAATTGTCAAGCTTAGGTAACAGAACGCCAACTATCTTCATAACCTGTACTACTGACGTTCTGATCATCATCAGTCCCGCTTATACTTCGCCCGATCTCCTAAGCTATTATCCAGGTACATCAGGATAACCTAATCTTTGTGTGAGTGATTATGGTTATATATGTATATGCAGACGTATATTCAGAACCTCTGATAAAATAACACTGAACGCTTGAGGGCAGTTTGATTTTTTTCCCATCGGTGCTCGTTACTGGGAGCTTCCACTGTAGAAAATGTAGATATAAGCAAACAAAACAAGTACCTTGTCAACTAATGGGATTACTGAGTTAGTAGAACTGTTCGCCTGAAGCACGGGCTGCGCCGTATACCAAGCGATTGATAATCAACACTCCGATATGCGGGGCTGCCAGAAGGTCATGTCAAATTGAAGCCTTTGGATTTCTGCTAACTGAGTATGATGTTACTCGCAGTGGCAGCACACATAAGAAGGCTATGAGGGAAGGCCATTCCGGATGAAGACGGAAAACATCTGGTCCGTCAACAACTCTGTCCCAGTAAATGGTGCGATGACCGTTGCAACAAGTCTGACAAACATACTACGATTTTCGCAGGTTCATCTGAACAAATCGAGTGTGCGTCATTATCTTGGTAAAAACGAAAGCTTAAAATCGACCAATTTTCCGGAACTCTCTTCCCAGTCGAATGTGGTCATATCACTTGTTTCGTATGCTCAATGTGTGAACCGTAAGGTTGTCATATGTGTATGTAAAGTTTCCAACCTCGCGCAAAACACGCTGTAGGGAACTAGTTATCTGAATCACTACTGCGCAGTTACTGCCGTCCGTAATTTTCAACTCGCAACCTTTTATTCGCAAAGGCATAACGGGAGGGATATTTTTTATCATTCGTCTCAAAACTAGGCATTTGTCCTGCTCTTGGTTTGGGCTAATTTGTTATCAAAATTCCGTGGAAACCAACATGCCAGGATTCCTGCTAACATGCGGAACAGCCATGTTAATAATCTTTGTTTTGGGCAGTGGTACACGATCCCCCTATTAGTACTTCGCTGTACACAACAGAACAAGAGTGGGCTTCAATGCATAGCCAGACAATGGCAGGATTGTCTACAAGAACAAACGGTTATATTTTCAATTTTTACGACGATCGACAGAAATGTAGTCACCAAATACTGAAGCCATCAAGAGTTCTATAATTTTAACACGATCATGATGTGGCTTAACCTCACATTTGGAACGCGGAACTTTTCGCTCTAATCTAGCTCCTCAACTGATCAATCAGCCACACAGGTAACGAGTTGGCTTCCGTGAATTACATATGCAAATGCTTTTGTTGCTTGTTTGAAGGTGTTGACCGTGGTGACAAAATTGGTTTTTTATGCAAAACAGTTAATCAGGTTGATCCATTTTGTGTGTGTCGGTGAGCGGAATTCCATCCGATCCAGACAAAAGAGACCGAGCAACAGTTGAGCAACTGGGGGGTGACCCTTTTCCGCCTATTCAAATCCTAATTACAGAAAGCAACTTTTTGTCCTCTTGCTACCGGTACCATTCCCTTTTAATTCAACCAATTAAGTATTCCGGGCGGATTTGTGTGAGGAAACTCTTCCATAAAGAGGCTAATCAGTTATGACAGATAAGGCCGAAGTACCGCGGTTCGGTGTCACCAAATGTTCAGTTTCTTTAATATGGTTTTTATGGGTTAAATTCCAATATGATGGAGATTTCGAGTAAACAGTTGTGAAGCAAAATACATTCAACTAGAAGAAACGTAGACAGTAAGCAGTCTTCCTGAAGATGTATATGCTTTAACAGAAGCCGTTTTGGGGCAATCTCTAAAGAATACTGAAGGTTTTCCACTTGTGCTTGTAGATTTGAGAGAAGCAATCAATGACCATGGATCATCTAGAACCAATCAAAACCGCAATCCTAAAATAAAAATGATCCTCTGGCATAACGACATAATAAGTTAGAATATGAAAAGTGGGTATGGAGACTTGGGTAAAGACATGAAGGCAAAAATTTCAGCTAGATAATACATTACCGTGGTACGGATAGAATTACTAAGATATCTGACATCTGTCTAGTTTGCCGACTAACTAAAGACGGTTGCGGTTGTTTCAGCAACCTTCTCGAAGTAAGTATTCTTGGGCGCAACTTTCCGCTTTTCTCAACAAATTCGCCAGTTGAAGAGCTGGTGAAGTTCAAGTCACTTAACGAGACTTCTCACAGTTACAAATCGTTCGACACCGTTGACCAACGACCCACAGGTTGGAAGCAAGTTGTCCAGCTCCTTGGCATTTTTCGGATAAACACGAATACTGTAATAGCCGTGTATTGCTTTTAAGGAAAGATCTTGTCTTCGTAACAGCGACTGGGAATTACCGGGCTTTTGCGCAGTCTGAAACAAACTCTCTTTAGTGACTATACTCTTTCGAACGACACCACACTGGTGCTGGCCAACGTCCTCTAGTTAATGGTATGAGTTTATGTGGCAACCTTGGCTCCAACCACAGAAAGCCCCATGATAAGTAAAAAAGAAGTTGAATGCTTCCGTAACTGGAGAGTCCAGGAATGAAGAAGTGCTTTCCTGGAATATTTTAAGTAATCAGGTTTTTAACTCCATTCACATCTTTCTTCCGGTCAGTCTGTCGTTAGCTGGCAAGTTACATACCGCGTTGCATAGCACAGCTGCAAGTAAAGTCCAGGCACTGTGAAAATGCTGTGTCACTTATCCAAAGAATGTTGGTTGTTATCCCAACGAATCCATATCCACATCACAAGCCCAAACGCACTCTGGATGATTTAGCTAATTTTACCCAGTGCATTTTTACTCTTCAGCTTGGGTAGATATATAAAGTGAAAATGATTTGGCTTCGGTGGTTTGACTTTATCACCCTTCTGATAGAATCTCTCGCGACTAGATTCTCCTGACTATTTCCAGCAAGGAAAACAAGTTTGCTGGCTTCACGGCTGTTTTACGGATATCCGTTGCTATCGTCGAATCAGTTTATTTATTTATTTATTTATTTATTTATTTATTTATTTATTTTTATTTTGTTTATTTATTTATTTATTCGTTTATTTATTTGTTTATTTATTTATTTATTCGTTTATTTATTTGTTTATTTGTTTATTTGTTTATTTGTTTATTTGTTTGAAGAGGGCAAAGACATGTCATTTTCTACCTTCCGATCTCGTGCCAATGGTATCTTGATGCTCAAACAAACAGTCCCGTCTTGCGTGTTCACAGGAATGATCGATGTAGTGTTACTTTCTTGCAATATTTCCGATATGACTGAAGGCTAATCAGTGGAATGATGGTTTGGTCGTCAAATTTGGGAGGAAGGGCGTCGACATTTTGTCACGAAACGTGTAAACATAATTCCGCGGTTGGGTGGGTACCCTCTCCTTACCCGCCTACATTTAAGTAGATTTGAATATCTGGTGTCTCTCAGTTGGTTTAACCAATTAGGACTGAAATTTTGGTAATTTTACTGCTTTCGATTTCTGTTGCTTTGTTGTCCAAATTCTCCGCATCCGGTTCATCTCCACCCCCCCCCCAGGTTTTTCTGTGTTGTGACTACACTATATTTGCATTCGACTAACTGACTTATAAACAGTAATTTTTGTACAGTAGCCTATCGAAGGATCTCGTTTCCGGGTCTGCATTCACTTACTGTTTGACAGGGTTCTATATTTTATCAGTTGGTTGTATGTTTCAAATAAGCAGGTTGGTTCGATGGAATTGAATTCATTTGCTCCTCATGTGTCTTTCTTCTACCCATTCGCCAGTTGCTTGTGCTGGTTTGAGCTATGTAGTTCCAAAGTTCCCTTGTCTTTATTGTTGATACATGGAGTCCATTTTACTAATGGCCTTATGGGGGAAGGCTGGTGATCCGTGGATTCACGTTCCTTCTGTGTTTATCCTTTCAAACAAACGAAATATTCAGACAAAAAATTCCTGTTTAACTCTCATAAGCCTCAATTAATATCGCAAGCCGGCAGGCTTCATCGTAGACGATACCAGTATTTCGGATACTTTCGGAACCTCTTTAAACGCAAAGGATGATTTGCTTCACAGATCAAAATAGAGTCATAAAAAACTTGATTGCGGGTTCAAAAAAGACTGTCTTTCGAAATTTTCAGTGGACTAAAATACTATGGTGGAACCCAAGGTGAAATATTTCCCGTCCGTCTGCTAAAGTTCCGATGAACTGCAGCTTCAGATCTGTCAAGAAGAGTTTATACGACGCTATTGGTGCTCTTTTGCATCGGGATGAAAGCTAAAACATCGTGGTGGCTGGTGGTTACAATAAAGCTCAGGTAGGTAGACTAAACGCTCCCAGGTGGTCCCCTGGGGCTACATACTGGACACATGGATAACAAAGAGCACCTGCTTTAGCTAGCTGGCGATCACACACGGTTCCAATTTCCGAAACAGTTGGAATGGCCTGAAAATATGGTGCCTAACAACGAACTAGCCCGGAATCCAAATGGACCACATCACCGTCAATTACCGGTAGGGAAGATCGACCACCGCCTGTGTTTCGTTGCGGTTTTCAGGTCTATGGAAAACATGCATAGCTCGCTTAACCAGCGAAAAGCTACCGAACCCACAAATCAAGCGAACCGATCATATCTAGATCCTCAAGCGCCTACCATTAGGAACAGGTATCCAAAGGGCCAATCAAAGAGAAAACTTCCATCTGCGTTGAAACCCACCCAACCTCATCCAAACACTAGCTCTGCCGGAAACTTGGAAAGAGATTCCTACTGGTCGTATCCACAACTCAGTCTGATGCTTCCTCCGAACCCAGGTGAAGCTAAGAGCCGTGCAGACGGAGAAGCTCGACAGAACTCCAAATCCAAATAAACGGAAGATCGGAAAAGTGTTAGAAACATCTATAAACCCATTCACTTGATTCATCTGACTGGCCCTTGTAAACCATTTGTCATCGAAAGCTTCAAGGACGAAAATGGTGCTCTGATGTTCACAGAGAGAAATGAGGAACGTTAGGCACAGCAATTTGAACGACAAATTAGTTGGCCATCTGCCACCACTAATCGGGAATACTGGCCTGCACCGGAAAGGTGGAATAAGAGTATGAAGTGTCCAGGTAGATATCTCTACTCAAGTGTTATCGTGCTCCTGATCCTGGCGGCCTTCCGTCTGTTCAATTCAAGAATGGCGGTGGACTTCTCAGTTAGCACCTGTTTGGATCTATCTGGTAATGAAAGACTATCAAGATAACTGGGGTTAATAGTAGTAGGGTTAATAATAGTCCCCTTTTCAAAGAGGATACTGGCAGTGAATTTATTAGTGACAGAAATGTCACTCTGACTCCTGTTGTAAAAAGGATTCTGCCGTCACTGGTTTTCTCGTCGTCTCGCGGTGGGAGGCGAGTCCTAAACACGTGAGTATCAAGCAGGATTTCGACCGAGTGGGTTATGCGTTGACCGTATCTTCACACTCCGTCAGGTTTTAGAGCAACTCCATAGGCACAAATGATCCACAGTCTTGGGATTCCTTGACTTCAAGGTTGCATTCGATTCCACTGATCGATCAGTGCACGTGAGCATACTTTCTCAACATGGTATGCCTCAGAATTTGTGAATGTAATTTGGTCCGTGTATTCACATACTTGTGGGCTTGCGAGTATGTACGGTGAGCACTCCAAAAGCGTTCATACAAAACGTGGTATCCAACAAATATGTCCGCTGTCTCCATTCTTGTTCATCTTTGTCACTGATGAAATGATGATGCGAAACCTGAGTGGTCTTCAAAACCCCGGTGTTCAAAGTGTTGTTGGTGAGAGCCTCGTCGGTCTTGAGCACTCGGGTGACATCGCCTTCATCTTTAAAGACCAGGACAAAGCGCAAGCTATGTTAAATGGAGAGATCACTGTCATACCATCTTTCGGAACATGCTCTGCACCTTCATAGTGCGAAGTCATGCTTCGCAACAGACAGTTCCTGAAAATATCCTTTACAGTGTAAGAAAAATCACTGGAGTTTGTGGATAATTTTACACACTTCGGTATTTGTACCAGAATTGACGGAAGTGTGTCTGGTCATCTCACGGATCTCAGGTTTGATAATTTGAGTCACTTTTGGTGTGAAAAGGCATAACACTGGGTCCGAAGTGCCGCGTGTACCAGTGTAGAGTAAGTTCTGTATTGATGTATGGTTGTGAGACATGGCCTGTGCGAACAGATGATTTGGTGATCTTTAGTTTTTTGAAGAGCTATGACCCAAAATAGCTGCTGCTACAAGATTTCTTCAACAAATTCGTAAGGAGATTGCGATGTCTCGAGTATAGTACCAACTGAAACATGAGGCGGCTTGGTGTAACACATTGATTTGGGAAGAGCATCATAAAAGCGAGATTCAGCTGGCATCCTGGGGAGTCAACTACCAAAGCAAATTAGTATGCAAGGGAGTATTTCGCTAATTTCGTGCAATTTGGGTTCAAGTAGGACATAAGTTTGACTTAAACCCCGGGAGTGTCCTTATATGATAAACCTCAAGAAGGGCGAAACCGGTCGTGGATAGTCGAAGAATTTTCAGCAACTTTATGAGTGGTGTATTGCGTCTACTTTATGGTCTCACAGCATCAGTGTCAACACTGGTGGTTCTCTTCCTGATGATGGTGATTACCACTCAACAAACCAGTCGACCTATCAGTCGATCAACAAATCAGTCAAAGAAACAATGAAGTAATCAATCGAAGTTTCGACCAATTAATCATTTGTCGGTTTAACTAACAAATCATGTGGTCGCTCAGTTGACTGAACAACCAACCAATCAACCTATTTTCGTCAGTAAGTTGGAAGCCAGTGCCCTGAACACTGTGTATGGCCAGTGGCACCAGGAAACAGTACAGAAAAACGACGAGTGTCTATAAATAGTGAATGTAAAGGCAAGTTATGGAAGGCGATCAGAAGCGGTATTATTTACTGAGTGCAGTTTGAACAAGGCGTACAACCAGACTCAAGAATGTTAGGAAAATGAGCTGACGGTTGGTATGGAATATTAGAACAACTGGGCCAGTTTGTCAAAAGCCAGTCACGCTGGCGATTCCCTAAGTGTTAAGTGGTTGTATTCACAGATGGTTACCAAACCAGAGTAAATTTGGTATAGATTGGTCAAGAAGTGTCAGTTATAACAATATGGTTACCGTTAATCAGTGAAATCGCCAAGATTTCGACCAGCTTTAGCATGATTGCACTCAATACTTGACCCATATTCAGCCCTTCACAAACTCCGAGAATGATTAGTCTAAGGTGATTGTGACAGAATATGAGGGACGCAAGCTTCAACAAGAAGCTTCTTTTAGCGGCAGTTAACTGGCTGTTGTGGAATGTTTGATGCGTTTGAAGTTCAAAAAGAAAACAGTGAATCCAACCAAGTGAGTAGATCAAATGATTTAAATATCAAGAAACAGGCAGAAACGTTGAGATATCAGTGTGAATTCGGAATCAAACACTGGTAGGTTCCTGTGAGCATTTAATTTGCATAGAGAACGTCAGTTCTACAGGCTAATTCCCACGACGCGATATAGAAGTACCAGCCGTGCTTCTCGACAAGCGCTAAAATCCCACATTTCATCAACAAAATAGGGACGGACAATACCAACGAATTTTTTAGTGTCTACTGATCAAAATGTTTGCACACATAAGTTTTAAACCGGATGGTTCTTGGACTTAACACACTGACCATCATAAACGACATACTCAACTGGGTTCAGTTGGGTCTCCTATCAAAACCCCGTTTGTAAAGAAATGGTGGTATTCGCCAAGGAAATTGCATAATTTGTGTGAGATAACTTAAGGTGTATAAAAAATTTTACAAGCATCACGCGAGATCTTCACGAGAATGCACTAAACCCTTTGTATTCGATTACAAGATAAAGTTGTCTTAACCATGTAAAGAACAAGGGTGTGGTACAACTTTGTTGAGAAATCAAGAACCGTGAGTAAATAACTAGGTTTGCAAGTAAACTTAGGCAGATAAGAAATGCGACCGCCAGATAGACTGAAATGCCCATCTGAGGACAGACCAGTATAGATAACTACTAACTTATTTCTTATTCCGGACTATTATGGGGTCCCGTGGTATCAAGCTACGGGATTCTAGAGCAAGACTACAGGCTGCTGACCCAAGGGGATGTAAGATATCCAGAGGTGATAAATGAGTTTGTGGTAGGGTTACTCAGTGAGAAAATAAGCTAAAAATTTACTTTGGTCAGGAAGCAAGCGTCAATTCTGTGGAGTCACCAAGTGCACAACGACCAAGGTAAAGCTGTTCACCACACGGGAGAGATTATCATTCACGTATGTGCTTTCATTTCTACCGTAGGAGTCTTACTAAGAAAGACACGCCGTTCAAAAATGGCTTTTAATATGGAGGACATAAAAGTAGTTTTAAACTTAGTGAGCATCACGCAGATTGGAAACACAACAAGAAGAAGAAAAGATGCCTACTTTGACGTAAAAGCAACATCATTGTGCTTTTAGCGAGTTCTTAATGATAAATTACCCGGTATTTCCGGGTGCATCCTGATAAAAATGCGCCACAAAATTGTTCGAATAAGCACTGGTCCACTGGTACTTCAAAAGTGCAAAGAAATGACAAGTCACTGCAGCAGTAAATCAGTCCCCAACTGATGGTTGACCGGTTCTCATTTCACTAGAGCCGAAACTAACTAAATCCAGTGTGATCTCGAATATGCAGTTTGTCAGATTTCCGGTAGATCAGATAAACACGAAATTATATTTCCATGATACCACTGAACACATTCTTTGAAAAAATAGCACTACCGTTTTTCGTGCTTCATTTGTGGCCTAGTACATCCAAGTCTGCTTACTGGGCCTGTGAGAAAAATTGTGGGCAACCAAAAGGGATATCGTTTAACGGAATGCTTATCTCGACGTTTTGCGTGCGATCTGATAAAACGGGCATATAAAGCTGTTGAGGACATTGATGTACATAATTTGTTATCGCATCCAGTGAATCGTGGTTTGCATCTGTGCAGCTCCGATAATACACCAACTGTTCTATTACAGCAATGAGTTATTTTGAGCTCGGTGGAAATACAACCTGATCGGATCTGCAAACACTCTCCTTCTGCTCACACTGACACTTCATTCATCGTATCAGAAGTTGTGTGCGCTCACATATACAGCCCGACTGCAGCTTTGGAAAACAGCAGCCTGTCCCATACGCTGATGAAGTAATGTTCCGACTGTTAGGCGTCAGTGCCTAGACGGCAACAAGACAGCTAGTTGTGATAATGATTCGATCTTCTGTTGCAGACCGCGAAAATCGCGGTACTTTGATTCACTCCAGGCAAGAAAGAGTGACAAGAAGGCGGTCTTGTGCAAGTTCAGAAGGGATTCAGTAGTTACTGTTAATCCTAATTAGAAATAAATTTCAACGCTTCAGAATGATACCTTTTAGGCTCACTATTTTGTGATCTTTGAACTGGAAACCGAATTCGGAAGACTGTGCACACATGGCTTTCCTCGCTCAACTTCTACAATCAATAGCAGCTCTGATCAAGTAAACAATGAAATTTTGCTGGGAGGACCAGGTTGGCATAAGTGAAACTGGACACATCGACAGGTTTTGTTTCAATAGGACTGGCTTGTGTGACCCAGTCTTACAAATACGGACGTAGTCAGTACCAAATGACCGTGAGTTTCACTCAGAAGTGAACTGCGCTGTTAAGAACACTTGACTTTCTGTTTAACAACGGCTGAAATCTGCCGTGCGTCATGTTGATGGTAGTACTGAATACAACCCTGAAGCTTCAAACTTGTTCTCTCATAGTAAACTGATCAGCCACACAAGCCGCGTTAGCTGCATCGCTGA